CCCCAGCAGCAGATTTCACTGCTCAAGTCATCGTTTTGAACCACCCTGGTCAGATAATGAATGGATATTCCCCTGTGCTGGATTGTCACACAGCCCATATCGCTTGCAAGTTTGCTGAAATCAAGGAAAAGTGTGATCGCCGTACAGGTGAGTTCTTTTGTTCGTAAATCGAAGATTTCTTCCTGAACACTTTTGTCCTTGTTGCCATCTGCCGAATTTTTCGTTCATTTGCAAACGTTGATTTATTGTGCTGTAGTAAGCTTCTTTGCTTTCATTGGCGGGAAAAAATTAGACTATTACGTAATCAAATGTCATATGTACGATCATGTGATCAGTACCACGATCGGTTGTTTTTTGCGCGCCTATCCTGATGCCATTTGTACTACGCTCTTCTAGTAGATACTGAAAAGGCTTGGTCTTCCGGCGAGCAGTTCGTTCGTTCATGGTCTTTTTCATGCTAGTGAATGGTTTAATCCCTTCGTAGGCAAAACTGTGGAAGAGAACCCGAAGGCGATCAAATCTGGTGACTCGGCTATTGTGAAGCTCATTCCTTCGAAGCCCATGTGCGTGGAGGCGTATACGACTTTCCCTCCATTGGGTCGCTTCGCTGTTCGTGACATGCGACAGACTGTTGCAGTTGGTGTCATCAGGAGTGTGACCCCGAAAGACGCCGGTAGTGGCAAGGTTAGTTAATGTTCAAGTTCACATGAAGGTATTTCCCTAACTTTTATCGTTTGATCAGGTCACCAAGGCCGCCGAAAAAGCCGCTAAGAAGAAGTAGCTATGCAAGAATCTGTGCGCTGCACTCGAAGTCGTGGAATCGACATATTCTGAAGCAAGTTATTGTTGCCAAGTTAGTCCTGCGGTGGAATGGAGATTTCAAGCCCTTGTGATGAAGCCGGTCTACCGAATTTTTGTTTTGTTGCTGCGTTTGAAGCGCGGCGCTCATAGAAAAATGTTCCGCAGGAAAACTGAATGGTATTCCGTTTTCGTGGCCCCCATATGCATTTCTTGACGCTTCAACTTCGTTGATGAAAATTGTTGATTCCGTTGCTTCGTGTGTTTCATGCTGGGCTCGTGCTTCGTTTCTGGTTTGGGTGAAATGCAAAATTCGATGAAGGAAGGACTTGTTCTGTCAGTTATTCCTCATGAATTTTTGAGCTCCTATTAATTCTTCATTTGTTGCAGGCGATTCTTACCACTCGAGGTACCTGAACAGCATTAGCTGGTAGCATGTGTACTTCACCAGTAAGCTCGACGAAATCATGTGCGGCTCGCTCGAATCCTGTGGAGATGAGGTAAACTATCTTCTGTCACTTAATTGGCATTATTTGCCGATACACGGTCGAGATGAAATTTGAAACAGATATCTCGATTTTTTTTATCATGAGAAAATTGAATCCGAATTTAAAACGTTATTGAAGGACATGGTTCTCTTGATGTTATTTTTTCTGGTCCTTATGTTCATCTGCTGTCTTTCTGAATAAATAATGGCACAGGTCTTCGTNCCATCATGAAAACGTTTCCACGAATTCAGTCTGAAGTATGGAGATTTATAAATTCTCGTACAGTACTGTAGATGAGAATCATGCTAAAGTGCTGCTGGCCGAGGCGGCTCGGTGAAACAAAGTTCGTAAGGCGAGTTATATCATTTTTTGGGTTCGTTGGGCGAGGAACGATGAAGTTTTTCTTCATGTTGTTCTTTCAGTGCATATTATATCGCAGGACTTCTAAGAAATTGATGAAATATGCTCCCTGCTGATATACTGCTGCATGAAGTACAGTGTATGCTGGTCTTCCCGAACAACGAAATTGGATGGACGTATTGCAGCGTGTTCTATACTTGGATATGGACAGCTTCCTGTGCGAGATCCTAGGGGTACGTGGGGTTGTCGTCCAGCAGCAGACGGTTTGCGACTCCCAGCATGCCATATTGCCAGCAAGGTTTGATCAATAAATATTATGGGAAGTTTTATATATATATATAAACCAGCAGGAATCGTTCCCTATATATGGGCTGGATATTCCTGTATCCATGGGATTTTTCTTTGCAGAATGTCCTCAGCATAGCACCGATTGAGGGCTGATTTATGCCTCTGTCCCTGATGCATGCGGCTGTGATACGTATAGTCTTGGATATTTACGTTCCTGTGCCGATGGCCGCCTCTTTTGATTCGTTTGACGAGTGACTTCAGTTTCTTCGTGAGTCAAAACCTCTTCCGCAGAGGGATGCTAAATGATGAGGAAAATTGCATGAATTTGCGGACTGTGTCGTGTGTTTGTGTCTATACGTCCGCAAACGTGATGCAACAGGTTTTCGGTGTTCGCTCGGTGCTGGAATAGATAGGGGATTTTTTTTTACTCTTCGTATGCAAAACTACCGTATTTCATTTGTCGTGTATATTTCTAAATTTCCCGGGATAATTTACAGCAGGTAGTGATATTCGTATTTTCTGAAACGGTTTGAACACCGCTAAAGCAGAGATGAAGATAGATTTTTTTAAGCATCCCAGCGCAGAAGGAACCATTGAGAAATTTATGAATAGTTTCAGCCGTGATCTTCGTGTTTTCGTTTCAGTGATCAAGAAAACAGTAATTTTTGACTGCTCTGAGCTGAAGTAAAAATTTACTGAAATCCTTCGCAGATTAATTACTGCAAATTTTACTTTTTGCTGGTTTTTTTTAAATTCTTTACTATAACCGTTAACTGAAACCTGCTAAAAGTAACGCGAAATTAAAAGAATTTTTAAAAATGTTGGTGTATTTTGTGAAATGCACCATAGTGAACATCAAAAATCACGAGTCAGAATTATTTTATCAATGCCTTGGAATAAATATGATGCGGCTATATTTGAATAAATATGATAAGTTATTAGAGACTTATCTGGCTGTGTGTATTGCCTCTTTCAGCTATTTTATTCCCATTTTGTTTTTGTTCCAATAGCTAAAATTCTAATCTTTCTTCTGTTCATTTCCGAAGACATGCTCTTTTTTTTGGCCCTCGTTGTTTTTAAGAGGATTTAAAAATAGCCACAAATTTCTTGCTCAAATAATAAAAATAAAACTGGAGCTTCTATGGGTAATTCATATAATTAGCGGCAATAATTGAAGAAAATAACTCCGAAACGCTGTTATACAGGACATGATGGTTTTTGTTTTTGCATTAGTGCATATTCTTTTTTCGAAGAATTTCCGGTGGTGAAAACGAGCTATTTTGCATTTCAAGGCGAGTTCTGTATTTTTGTCACTAGGAATATTTCCACCCAAGGACGCATGATTGAGGTCATGTGCAGCATTTTTTTTTAATTGAGTACCTCATGTATACTCGCGTGTTCCTGAAGAATCAGTTAAGCTGTAGGAAAGAAACAATGTCAACCGCATGCATGCACTTAGATCCATGAATCTCGAAATGGATTCCATGTAAAATGAGTCCAATCAGCCCCGGGTATAGCTGGTACAATAATGAAACCAGGCCGCGATGAATAATTACTGTCCGTCTCCAAGCAAAAATTATCGGCGTTGATCCATTTCGCAGGTGTATTATACCAGCATATATCGAGGTCATGGACTCCTGAATTTTATGCACAACCTCCGTGTTTGTGCAGTACATGAGCAGCCAATTTCCTTGACCTGCCTTTTTTCGTCGTCGATTCTCTGGGCTATTTAGTTCCTGACCTCGCACGAAACACGTCTTGTCATCCCGAAGCCATCGCGGTTGTGTTTTATTGTGCTGCATGAAAGATGTGTTGTTGATTTCTAGACTCGTATCTCAGAATGTTTCTTTTATATTTTATTCACGTACGTATATATTTATTTTCTAATGTTTTTCCCTTGCCTTTTGAGGTTGATGTGTGATGCGGACTGATGGAGCTGTTTGGTGATTAGGATCCGTTTGCGTGTGGCTGCGTATGGGGTAAAGAAGGCAATGACTTCGTGGCCTCAGTATGCGTGGAACCCCTGCTGAGAAAGGTTTGTCTCATGTGTTGTATGTACCAGTGTTACCCAACCTGCAGACCAGCAAATTCCCATAAAATATTTCAGGGACCAGCAAATGTTGAGAACATTTTCTGAAGACAGCAAAGTTTCATAAAATTGTTGCAGACTCAAAAAGTTTTGTTTGGAAGACTTGGTAGCAAATTATTGAGAAGGTTTCTGCTTTTTTTTTTGTTGCAAAAATTGAGGTAAGAACCAATCAAGCAACTGCAGTGAAATGTCTTGAAAAATTAGAATGTGGGGGGGGGGGGGGGGCTTGAGTACAAAAGGTTTCTCAGCATGAAAAAACTGAAATAGATTTGAATTTTGATAAGTCAAACCTCCCCAAGTCAAATTTCTCCTTAAGTTGAATTTCTTTCAAGTCCCTGTCTGAATTCCCTTATAGAATTAATGGATTAAAAACCTCCCTAACTCAAAATCTTTTCCTCTAAAACCTCTGTAAGTCAAATTGTTCTGAGGCATTTTGGTGATTATTTCCTTGAAATATAAAAGAGAAAAGCAATAAAACAAATGATTTAATGCATCTTGAAAGGAAGTGAAAGACTGATAGAGCAAATGAACCCCTGTTTCCAAGTTCAGCAAGGTTTAAACTAATTAAGGAGCAAGTTCAGGCCCAGAATATCCTCCTTTACTATTTCCTGCGATTTTTTCACTTATTCTCCTCCCAACAAAATTGTTTGGTTCCTTAACTGGAAACCTCCAAAAATCAAAACCTCCCAATGTTGAAAACTCCCTAATTTGAATTTTTCCCTGGTCCCTTGAAATTTGACTTTGGAGGTTCAACTGTAACTTATTTCAACAGCCGTGAATATTTTTCTGAAGCATTATCAGGAGAAAAACCTACTTTCATTTTTCATCAGATAATTTCACCAGCTTTGATGTGAATGTCCTCCTGAAATTTTGGCTATAGATAACAGAATTCATAGCTACTTTTGATGAAATTATTATTCTGAAGATGATTTCCTGCAGACCAGCAAAACAACTTTTGAGGACCAGTGCTGGTCCACAGACCAAAACGGTTGGGGAACACTATTCAATACAAATATGTGCAATGGGGCCTCAAGATGTGGACATAATTTGTGCTTAGACCTGTTGTCCCTTAAAGTCCTCAAAAATATAATGAAATTTTGTTCTCTCATCTTCAAGATAGAAAATAACTGTGCTGAAAAAAAAAACGCACAGAATCTGATCTTTAGACATATGAAAGGGAGTCAAAAATGCAAAGAATAATCCCAATAATCTCCCTGTTTGACATATTAATGATTTTCTGTAAGTTAACAAAACCATACCTTTTATCATTATAGGGTCAATGTTCACAAAAATTGAAACCCATTAAAATAGCTTTTGGTTAAGTGACCGTAAACTTTTTGTCTGACCATCCTTATATATACTGTACTCGTGTTCATGTCGTGCACAAAAGATAGGGCTGATTTCGGTACTTGTTGCTTTAATATATGCTGTCCGACATCCTCTTTTATTCTTGCCTGTAGAAGGAGAACTTCGAATTGTTAATCTGGTTTCAAGCTCATATATAGGCTGGACGCGGTACTGCATGCATTTTTATTCAATTTTCAGACCAGCCCGCTGTGTTGACATAAAATAAGGAAAGTTTGAGAGGTATTTTGGGATGGGTAAGGTAACAAAGCGTCGTGTATGTTTTGGTAAAAAAAAAATTTCAGACGAAAATATTGTACCGGGATTTTTGAAGGTTATTGAGGCATTGTCTCGCAGTCCAAGGACATCGCCATTTTTTCAAAACTGTTTTCGATTTCATTTCTGGGTCGACTTTCCTACTTTTGTGTATTTTAATTTATCTAACACGATTTTCAACCGATTTGATATAGGGATCATCAAAATGGTGCTTGACTTACACAAGTATGTTCTATTGCTTTATGGAATGCATTTTTCTCGTAATATATAGAGTCGAAAAGCCAATGATTATTTAATTATTTCCAGATGGTGAACCTGGCCTTGGATAATATACTGCTTGGAAAATGGATCGTTTTGCTTAAAATTTAAAGTTTAAGTGGGAAATCTGACTGTCACCATAATGTTTCCATTTATAGAGATGATTTTTATTTTATTGATTGGACCTTGGATTTGTTACTTAGTTTTTCAGAGCATTTTTCTCTG